GCATGCGTGCACTGCGCGCGTGCACGAGGACGCCGCCGGCCCCGTTCCAACCGAACCAGTTGGAACAGGGCGAGAAACCCAACCCTGGACTGTAGCCACGATTTGAAGTCTAGACGAATTTGATGACATGTTGCAGAACCTAAAGGAAGCTCTAATGAACTTGGGTTGCTACTGTGAAGCTTCTCAGAACTTTATAATAGAGCTGTAAATCTTGAAACTGCCGGCTGGTTATCCCGACTTTAAATACATTTAGGGACACCAGGGCGACATTATTGTTGCCACTGCTGATGAATCATAAAATTGCATTGGCAGTTTTATGGGTCCAAACAGAAGCACCTTTCATCTGTTTCTTCTCGGACAAAGATGATTGGAAGGTAACACCGAAATATTTGAAATATTTTTATTCTGCTGATAAACTTCCAACTACAGCTACATTTTGCTTGTGATCAGTACTAACAGTTTTAGAGTCGCTAAAGGTCACTTCTGCCTTACTATAAAAGAGAAGCACTTGAAGGCTCAATCTTACACCTGCCAGTTTTGTACAAGCCACACCTGCATTACAGGTAAGTCCTCGATTTACAAAAGTTCACTTCGTGACTGTTCAAAGTTACAGTGGCACCGAAAGAGTGACTTATGGCCATTTTTCACACTTATGACCATTGCAGCATCCCCATAGCGCCCTGTGATCAAAAATTCAGACCCTTGGCAACTGACTCATATTTATGACGGTTGCAATGTCTTGGGGTTATATGATTCCCCTTTTGCGACATTCTGATATCAATGGGGAAGTCACGTTCCCTTAACAACCGTGTTATAAACTTAACAACGGCAATGATTCGCAGCTCTGGCAAGGAAGGTGGTACAACGGGGCAAAACCCATTTAACAAATGTGTCACTTAGCAGCAGAAATGTTTGGCTCAATTGTGGTCACAAGTCGAGGACTACCTGGATTGGCTGACAAAAGAATGGAAATTCACAACGTTGGAGGGAATTGTTTTCTCACTAAAGCTGATGAATCCAGAAACCTTGGACAGATATATAAGTCCAATGGAGGACTGCATATACAGTATACAGGTAGTCCTCGGCTTACAACCACAAGTGAGCCCAACATTTATGTTGTTAAGTGAATTTTGCCCCATTTTACAACCTTTTTTGCCCCGCTTGTTAAGTGAATCACTGCAATTCATAAGTTAGTAATACGATTAAGTGAATCTGGCTTCCCCGTTGACTTTGCTGTTCAGAAGACTGCAAAAGGGGAATCACGTGACCATGGGGACAAGAAACAGTCATAAGTATGAACCAATTGCCAAGCATCTGAGTTTTGATCACATGATCGTTAAGCTGCTACGAAGGGTGTCTGTTCTGTCCCCCCTTCACAGCTTGTTAACAAACGGCAAGCAGACAAACTTAAAAGGAACTTTCTTTATCAGTTCTCGGCTCAGACTGGCTTCGAGCCC